CTCCACAATTATCAACTCCTACAGGTTTCATAACACCAGTGCTTATCACACCACTCCTTTCCTCCAACCCTGTCACTTCATTAACCATACCAACTGTTTATTCTTTGATCATGCTGTTTCTCTGCTTTAAAATCTTCCATTGGTTCCCACTGCTCAACCTACAGAATAAAGTCCAAACGTGGAATTCAGGGCTTTTGATCATTTAAGACTGATTTGCCTTTTATAAAAGTGTGGCCCTCATCACATAATACCCTACATATTTCTTAACAATTTTCTGTGACTGTTATTAATGGAGTGGAGACTTCTACAGCAATAATTTTTTTTTAAATATTCTTCCCAGGTACAGAACAGATAACCAATTTACTGAGTGATCAAGAGTTGATGAGTGGCTCCTCAATATGGATGAAGAATTAGTTCAAGAACCTCCAGAGGATACCAAAATCTACAGACACTTGACTCTCTTATGTAAAAATGGTATAATACTTGTGTATAACCTACATACATCCTCCTAATATTTACAGTATCTCAAGATTAGGATACCTAAAAAATGTAAACATGATGTAGTTTTGATACATACTGTTTAGGAAATAATGACAAGAAAAAAATCTATACATGTTCAATGAGATTTTTTTCAAACATTGTGATCTGCAATTAGTTGAATCCACAAATGTAAAGCCTGTTAAGTGGTTAAGGACCACTGTGTTGTGTATCTGATAGGTGATTAGTTATTTAACAAATATTTACTGAGTAATGAATTTGTGCCAACGATACTAATGTGATCTCCATCTACTAAGAGACTGCTATGTGCCAGACATACATTATCTCACACAGTGCTTAAAGCCATCCTCAGGCAGGTATTATCATCTTTAAATTTTAATAAGTAACAATTAAGTTCCTAGTAAAGTCACAGAGCAGATAAAAGACAACTGAGATTCAAGTTTGAGTGAGATTATATTGAAAAGCAACCATGACACAATAAAAGTATTTAAAAAACAAATAAAAACACAAAATGTTGGATAATACATATAGTATGATGTCCAGACTCCTTTGCACAATCCTCAAGGTCTTTAAATCCATTATGACTTGGCCCATGCCTAACCATTGAACTCACTTAATGCCATTTTCCTCCTGATTCACTAAGTCCCAGCAACACCACTCTTTCTAATCTATCAAAACATGCAAACTTATTCGGTCTTCAGGGGTATTTTTTTTTTCTGTTAGTTACACCAAAATGCCCTTATCCCTCTCAATGGCTAGGATGTTTCAAGTCATTCAGATCTCAATTCTAATGTCACCCCCCCTTAGAGAGATCTGTGTATTTTCACACCAGCCCCAAAGTTACTAGCATTTCCTGTGTTAACAACTAGGACTCTCTGATATTCTTATTTACTTGTCCATCATTCTCCCCAGGAGGTCAGCTCCAAGAGATTTCATCTTCCTCATATCCACATATTGTTCACCATATATCTTAAAATTGTGTTTGGTACAGTTAGCCCTTTGTAGCTAAAAGAAAATCTACACACACATCATTTACATGAAAAAAATTAAGAAAGTTTTAAAAGGATTAAGAAAGTTTTGAAAGGATCTAATATTTGAATATTTGTACCAGGAATGAGCATGACACTAGAAGGAGGACATACTATACCCATTCTTTTTTTTTTTTTTTTTTTGCTTCATCTCTATCAAAATTTTCTACATGAATCATGTCTTTTGCAATTGAAGAATTTTAAATAACAATCATTTAAGCCTAAGATAGTCAATCTATTCTACTTTATATTTTCTTTTTGTGGGTCATGATCTAATGACCAGTGGGAAAAAACAATCTGACTGCAGGCTGATCTTGGGTTGTTTGAATAGTAGCTCAAAGTTAGAATCTTGAAACTTGGAGTTGGAAAGAACTTAGAGACTATCTAATCCGTCCCCATTTATAGGTATGTAAACCACAACTTAGCAGTGTACTAAAGTAATTTAATTAATAAAAATAGAAAACTAATGAAAAAATTCAAAAGATAAAATGAAATAATAAACAATAAAAGCTTATTAAAAATTACTCTCACATATAACCTACAATTTTCTGGTGAGATTATTACTCAAAAAAAATCTATTTCCTCAAGTCCTATTTGACCAATGAACCCATAACAAACAATTCAGAATACATAAATGAATGCAGTAAAAATAATTCACGTTTGAGATCTTAACACCATTAGGTGACCAGACTAAACCAGCAGGTACTTCTTTCCACTAGAGTACACAGTGTGTCAAATATTGTAAGGATTCATTACACTCTGATTCAAATTTCTGCATCAAATTTTACAATGTGTACTTAATGAAGTTAATAAAAGTCAAACAGTTAAGAAATGCACTATTAAATATCATTTACTGAAACAACTACTTCATTACATTTTTACTGTAATTTCCCAGGAATCAACTAATTTCATTTTAACTTCTGAATAATACCACCTTATATTTACTTAATTATCTCGTTTGATCCTCACAATGCCATGGGCAGCAAATATTGCTATCTCATTTGGCATACAAAAATAAGATGCAAGCGCTAAGGAGCTTAGCCAAGATCATTCACACAAATTCTAAAACTCCATCCTCCCAACCTCTTAGATTCACACAAATTCTAAAACTCCATCCTCCCAACCTCCATCATCCAAGCTATCTCACATTTATCAATTGCTAAATGCAAAACACTTTATCTTCTCCTTTCTTACATATTGATGGAGAAGAGTACCAAAAATCCTAGCATTTCTATCCTATTCTACTTGAAATTTTAGTGCATAGCATTTAATTATTCATTCTAAAAGTGATAAAAAGGATGTGAATAAGATAATTCTCATCTTGAGAATTATGCTAATCAGTAATTCTGTAGGAAATCCTACCAAACGTTCAATTATTTCCTTAATCATAAAAAGATACTCTTATCTACAAAAAAGATACACTTATCTACAAAGCTCTCTACTAACAATATAGAAAAACAGTGTTAAGAAAAAGGGCTTCACAGTTGGAAAAAAATCTGAAACCAAACCAAACTGTGGGTACATATCTTAAATCACTTGAGTCTCATCTTCCTGGTCGATAAAATGAGAATAACACCACATGCATTCATGGGTTGTTGGGAATTATAAATAATGTGTGTAAAGCAATTAGTTCTTAGAAAATGACCAATCAAAAAGGCTCAGCTCAGGAGGTTGAGGCTGGGAATCACAAATTCAAAGCCAGCCTCAGCAACTTAGACCCTGTCTCAAAATTAAAAAATAAAAAAGGCTGGGGATGTGGCTCAGTGGTTATGCGCCCCTAAGTTCAATCCCCAGAACCCAAAAAGAAAAAAATAAATGACCAGATCACACTGTTGTTAGAGAAACAGATGCCCATAGGTACCACTGATAGGCAGTCATTTATGTGAAGTTTATTTGTTTAATTTCCAGTGTGCCCTTATTTTTTTCCTCCCAAATATTTGCAGCAAGACACAGTACATCACTCTTGCTCCCAGGAAACAAATTAAGTAAGTGCTGGATTTCACTCTTCTTGCAACCCCTGTAATTAAGCAATATTGTAATATTCTATTATTTGACCATCCTGGAATTGGTTATTATCTAAATCAAAACTTATATGCTATTTTGGGTCAATTAACTGCATCTTTCACTCTATTTTGAAATAAAACTGATTTAATAAGCCAAATTTTTAATACAAATCACAATGCAGTGAATTCATACTGGGAGAAAAGAGCAGAAAATCTGCCAGACACTGTGGCACACACCTGTAATCCCATCAACTCAGGAGGCTGAGGCAGGAAGACCTCCAAGTGCAAAGCTAGCCTCAGCAACTTTAGCAAGGTCCTGTTTCAAAATAAAAAATAAAAGGGCTGGAGATGTACTCAGTGGTTGAGTGCCCCTTGGTATAATCCCCAGTGCCAAATGTTGGAGGGATGGGCAGAAAATGGACAGAAGGACCTAACACTGAGAAAAATGTATTCAGCAGTTCATTATACACTAATTTACTTTCTCTCTTTTAATCTTCACAAGCTTCATCCTAATCAGTATTACATCAGTTTATAGATTGGGAAAGGTATTCTCTACTCTTACCTACAGAAAGGCTATTGCTCAATTCAAGCCCTTTCCCCTTTTATAATCTCTGCTCAGAGTGCTCTCCAGACTCTCCACAAGGCCTTCTCCTCAGGCTTCAGGTCTAACCAAATAGCACCTCTTCTGACTATCCAATCTGAAGTAGTGCACACCACTTATTCCATCCTTATTTCCTTTGCAGATACAATTACTGCTGTTTCCTGATTATTCAGCATAGAGGAAGATGCTGCCTTAAAGAATGAATGAACACACCTGCCAACAGTCAATAAGCAAGTAAAATAGCAGGGCCTAGAAACCAATCCAAGTAAATCTGACAGTAAGCTCCCTTAATGTCCCACCACTACTCTTTCACAGGTGAGAGGTGAGTTACTTTGAGGTAGGGAAGCAATTAAGAGATGTGCACTGCTGCTTTTTAAGTATTCATTCTCTTTAAGGAAATTACAGAACTACCTAAACATATACTTCATTCTAGAAAACACTTAACCCAAATTTCAAGAGATAATACACAGCCTTTTAGAATCACAATTGAATTTGTAAAAAAAAAAAAAAACCCACTGTATTTATGTCTCTGTAATACTTCAAAACCCATTGAATAATTGGCATCTGCACAGTTATTTAAGGCTAAAACGAAATTGAGTAACACACATTTTACTAACAAGCTTGCAATATTCTGTTCTTTTATAAGTTATTTTGAATTTCATCATGCAGAAAAACTTAAAAACTGTCATAAGATATCATACTGATAACGGTAATATTGTTCTTAAAGAAAGATGACACATGCATTCTGTTTCACTGTTAAGCCATGTTCTTGCAGGTAAAAGTCATCTCAAGTAAAATGCTAAGTGCAGTTAAAGCAGACCACTAGTGACGGTTCTCTTCGTAACCTTACCCACCGGGTTTAATACTTACTGAGTCCTCCATCCTCGGATACTCCTGTTCCTCTCATTCCTAGATAAGTCAGTCCCAATATTAGGAAAAATAAGCAGGCAGCAGTAAGGAGAAACATTGACAAGTAGTGAGCACTGAAACTCCCTGCTGGGGACACCTCCTCCCGTTTAAACTGCTGGAGAAGTTCCTCTTCTGGTTCTGAAAGCTTCGGTTTGCTGTATGCGTTTTTCAGGTAGGTATGATTGGAGCCGGTATGATTGGCGTGATTGATCCTGAGTGAAGTTGGGGCGGCCACAGCCGGACTGGGAGGGAGGCTGTTGGAATAAATCCTGGGGGAGTCCACACTGAAGGCCCCACCGCCGATGTGATTATTGGTTTTAAGAAGGGAGCCTGTAGATGAATCCAAGGTTGAGTCCATGTCAGGAAGTGGTGGGGGCAGGAGAGGGGCCAGTTTCTTAGCGCTAACACGGTATCTAGGAATGGGGCTGCAGTCCACTTGATCGCACCCTCCTCCCAGCTCCGCCGCTGCCTCTTCGAGGTTTCGGCTCCTGTCTAGACTCCCAGCAGCCGCCGCCCTGTCATTCATCGCGAGTCCTCCCCCTCCCTGAACTGAAGTCTCCCGCCGGCTGCCGGCAGATTTAGCAGTCAGCGGGGAGAAAGGCTTACTATGGCTCCGTCTGGGCCGATGCCGGGAAAGGGAGTCGTCCTTTAATACCTGTCTGGTGGCCACGTCGTCGTCCTCCTCTTCCTCGGAGTCCGAATAGTTCTCACGGCAGCTGTAGGGGAGAAGCCGGCTACCATTCACTGCTCGGCTCGCCCACAGTGGCTCCTCCGCCTCGGGGTCCCTCTCCTCCCCGTCTTCTCCCTCCTCTTCCTCGTCCTCCGCTGCTCCATCTTTCCCCAACGGGGTCTGCAGCTCCAGACCCGTCGGCCTCCTGGCCCCCCACCACGAGTGGGGCTTCCTCCGCTCGGCCGAGTTGCTGTTAGTCACCTCGCTGGCGGCCAGGGGCGCCGGCGGCGCTTTGAGCCCGCGATACTGGAGCGCAGCCCGGTCTCTCCTCCCGCCGCCGCCCGCCTGGTCCCGAGGACTGGCCTCCACGTCCGACTCATCGGAGCTGAAGCCCAGCAGCACTTTGCTGCCAGCCACGGGGGTGGCCGAGGCGCCCCCGGGCCCTCCCAGGGGGCTCTCCGGACCCGAGACCGAGATTCGGCTCAGGCCCCCAGGGGTCCGTAAGTAGGAGAGGTCACCCGAGACCGGCCGGACCCCCATCCCCACGGCCGCCGCCGCTGATCCCGCGGCGGCGACCGTGGCGGCTGCGGTGTTATTGTTATTACTGTTCCGCGTCTTGTTGCCGCGGCCCCCAGACCGGTGCTGCTGCTGCTCTTCCTCTCGAAGCTTCTTCAGCTTCTTGAGGTAAACCGGACGGGTGCTCTCCGTCACTGGGCCCGGAGACAGGCCGTAACGGCGGAGCTGAGAGAAAAGCTCCTCATCCGAGAGCTGCTGGGGCCCCGAAGCCGCCGCCGCCGCCATTTTCTCTCCAGGGTGTTTTACAAGCTCCGCGCTACCGGAAGTGACGCGCCGCCCTAGACCCTGAACTAGACCGGGCTGCGTCGCCCTCCCAGCGCCACGGGCGCCTCGGCCAATGGGAGGCGCGGGAGGAGCTCACCTGAGCTGGAAAGGGCCACCTGAGCAGCGCGAACTCCCGCGGCGGAGTGTTTCTCCACTGCTCACCTTGAAGTGGCTGCGCAGTCACCCCCTCGGTCTGGCTCCCTTTCCTGCAGTTCTCAACCCTGGCCTTCTAAGTGCCTTCCCCGTGAGCTGTCTCTTTCTAATCCGCACCTTGACCTCTTCCCAGGTTTCTGCCACCCGCGGTCGCAATCGAAAGGGAATCTGCCTTGAAGTTCATGACATTAGTTTTCTTTTCATCCAGATTCCCGCTGCTGAGGGAGTCCAGAGACGAAATCTTTAGAGCCAGACAAGATTGGCAATTTTCCTCTCTGGCTCTAGGTTCTTTTCGGTTTGTCTTTCCGCTTGACTTAAAATTTAAAAAAAAATAAAAAAAGATTTTCACTGCTCTTTTTGAAAAACCTTTCCCTTCTCATTCCAAAAAGACACTGAATAGGCTAGTTACAATACACTTTTCAAGAATGCTAGCTATTCATTCACTATTTGATTTGTTATTAACATTTTTTTTTCTTTTTAAAAATGTGATGACCTCAGAAGGTCGTCATTTTGGGAAATGAAAGAGACTGTCGTCTGCTTCATTTTAGGATTCTGAGAACACATCATCCTGTTAATTTACTGCTTAGCGTTTTTCCAACCAATAGTTAATTATTAATAAATACTTTTTGTTTATTTTAAAAATTATTTATTGTCTTATTCCTTTGGACTGTAAGCGCCATGCACAGAGAGCCTTGCTTCTATTACAACACTAGTAGAAGCTCAATAAACATTTGTTGAATAAGTTAATGAATTGCAAAGCAAAATGGTATGAAAGGCAGATAAACCTTCACACAAAGTCAAAAAAAAAAAAAAAACAAAGCCAGTTAGGACGTGGAAATCCTACCTTTTCACTTACAGAGCAGTCGCAGAGGAGAAACTTGCCCAATTTGGTAAAGATCGCTTCCCATTTCCTAAAAGCCTATCAAGGCAGACACTTCTCTAGTATGTAAACCTAGCAGCTACAGGACAGCATCTAGCACAATATCTGAAACATTACAATTTTTTTGTCAAAAGAATTACTTTACACATTACATTATACACAGCTGCACAGAAAAAAAAAAAAGAAAAAAAAAAGGCCAGTCAAAAGCATAGTTACTAGCTTTTCTACATCCTGGATTCTGAAAAATACTTGGTTACCTCAACGTTTTACTTCTCAACAAAAGCTTGCCATGTTCTCAAAAGAAGCTTCTATTTGGAGGATCACTTCCTTTATCATTGAGACTTTAAAATTTACAAATGGAATAGCTACCTGAATCAGATTAGATTTTAAAATTTTTTTACAAATAGTCCTTAATCTATGACTGTTAAGCACTTGTAACAGTGTTTGGCACAATAAATTATAATGGCTATGATGATGCCACAAAATTTTATTAACATAATTATCTGAATAGAGAACCAAATTATTATAAGTTTACCGGAGTTATATCTCAAAATAGAGTGGTTAACCTGTGAGCTTTGAAATTAAAACTGAATATGGACCCAGTCTTGTCTCTTATTCTTGGCTCAACATTTGTTTCACACCCTGTTGGCTCTTCAGGTAAGAATCATACACATCTATTGGTTTAGGCTTTGATTTTCGTGAAACTTTAAATGTCCTTCTATAAAGATTGTTGGACCATTTCAATTTCTTTTTTTTAATATGCATTTTTTAGTTGTAGTTGGACACAATACCTTTATTTCACTTATTTATTTTTGTGTGATGCTGAGGATCTAACCCAGGGTCTCGCAGTGCAAGGAGAGTGTTCTATTGAGGCACAACCCCAACCCCCCAGCAGCCCCCCATTTCAATTTCTGTATGTAACTTTGGGTAAATTACTTTACGTTTCTGAGCCTTAGTGTATGTATCTCTCTCTCTCTCTCTCTCTCTCTCTCTCTCTCTCTCTCTCTCACACGAAAAGCCTTCCTCAGAAGATTATATTAAGGATTAAGTGAGATTTTTATCTGCTTAACCGTTAGTAACATGCCTTATACACAGTATTCACTCAATGAATATAAAGGCAAACATTGTGTGTATCCCATTTAGTAGCATGCCTCCTGAATACTCTGTGTAATAGCAATTAAAATGCTATAGCACAGACAGAAATAGAAATGCTGAAACTCTTCCCAAGGTGTTAAATAATCATATCTAAGATATAATGAATATTGAGGGCTTTGGTAAACGTAATTCTTGGTCATTTCAGCCGTTGGAGGCAGTAAGGTTTAAAATGAACTAGAAACCAAGGGCCTCCTGTCTCCAAGTTAAGTGATTTAGGGCAAATCTTAGGCTCTCAGAACCTCAATTTATTCTTTTTTTTTTTAATGTTGACAACATTGCCTACCCTACTTGGCAAACATTAAATATTCAATAAATATTTTTTGAGAATTGTGAATAAATACTGTACATGAAAATGACAAATTTGTTGTTTATTATTTTAACATATAACTTTATATTTCATAAGAACTTCTATATACATGGTTTCATCTGATCAACAAAAACACTTTTCCTTCCCAAGGATACCATGACATGATTTATTGAAGGGAATTATGTGGGTTTATAATTCCCCGTTGGGTGGGTGTTTGAACAGACAAGACACTTTCTCAGGAGAACCTTCTCAGCTTCAGCCCTGTCACTACTCATTTCCCATATTCTTCTCAATTGCCAATGGATCTTACTTCTACTTCCAGACTTACAGGCCCTATTCTTAACTGTACCCATATACTTGACAGGGAGTGCAATCTTAAACTCACTCCTTCTCAACAGCTTCTCAAAATTTGATTGAAGGACACATTTACAACAGATTTCAGAAAGATAGCCCATCTCTTCCTCTGGATGCTTTTAATTTTGTTCCTTCCTTAATCCTGCTCATCAAAGACTGATAAAGCTTGGATCACATTACTAACACATTGCTCCCCTGCTTCTTTCTCCCAGTTCCTGATATTTGTCACTATATTGCCCTTTAGAGTCATGACATCAATCTACATTAAAGGATCATGTATGTAATGATATGAAACCTAACATTCGGTTCAAATAAATATACTGCTGATTTTTTGTTTGTTTGTTTGGGGGGTTGAGAGGGATACCAGGGGTGCTTAACCACTGAGCCACATCCCCAGTCTTTTTTATTTTTTATTTTGAGATAGGATCTCACCAAATTGCTTAGGACCTCACTAAATTGCTGAAGCTGGCTTTGAACTTGTGATCCTCCTGCCTCAGCCTCCCAAGCCTCTGGGATAACAGGCAAATACCAAAAAAGCACCCAGCCTTGATGGTTCATTTCCTTAAAGAATAATTTTTCTGGTCTCATTATTAGAAGTAGCTCTATTTTTCCAGAGCAATTTGTTTGTTTTGGTTTTGCTTTGCTATATTTTTTTACTGATATGAAATTTATGTATCAAAATATCAGCCAGCTGAAAGTATACAACAAATGGTAGTTAGTACATTTACAATGTTGTGCAACCATCACCTCTCTAGTCCCCAAATATTTTCATCACTTCCAAAGGAGGCCCCATACCCACTAAACAATCCCTCTCTCCCCAATTCCTGGCAATCACTAATCTACTTCTTATCTCTATGAATTTAACTAATCTGAATATTTTATGTAAATAGAATCAAACATTATGCTTTCAAGATTTATGCACATTGTAACATATATAAGTACTTTGTTTCTTTTATGAATGTGAAATACATTGTAAGAGTATGCCACATTTTATTTACACTCATTTATTGTTGAACATTTTAGATGTTTCCACCTTTGATTATGGTGATCTACGAATATCTGTTTGAATACCTGTTTTTAATCCTTTTGAGTACATTCTTTGAAGTGGAACAACAAGTATCTTGTAACTTTATGATGACTTTTTTGTAGAGTCACAAAACATTATGGATGTGTTTAAAAAAAAAAAAAGGAAGCCATCAGCCTGAGGTTATCTCTATACCCAAAGCTCTTATTTCAAACTAAAGCTGAACTTGGAGGTATTTCTTATAACTGACCACTATAATTTGAATATGGTTTATTCCTACCAAAATTCATGTTCAGTTTCATTTCTTCAATGTGGCAATACTGCAGAAGAGGTGCTAGTGAGAGATGTTCAGGTCAAGGGAGTTAAGCCATTGTAAATATGTTACTAATTTTCTGTCGTGGGAATGAATGAGTTCTTGCTCTAGAGGGACTGGATTAGTTACCTCCAGAGCAAGTTATTATAAATTATAAACTTTAAGCTTAAACAGGAGGATGGCGAGTTCAAAGTCAGCCTCAGCAAAAAACAAGGTGCTAAACAACTCAGTAATACCATGTCTCTAAATAAAATACAAAATGTAGGACTGCGGATGTGGCTCAGTGGTCAAGTGACCCTGAGTTCAATCCCTGGTACCAAGAAAAAAAAAATTGTAAACTTATTATAAAGTAATGTTATCCCTTTTGATTCTCTTTCATATGGGCTGTTTGTCCTTCTGTTTTTTTCTCCAGTCACCAGATGCTGAATAGATGTAACCACCTGATCTTAGATTTTCAGCCTGATCTTAAACTTAAACTTCCAGCCTCTAGAACTCTGCGTGAAATAAATCTCTTTTCTTTATAAATTTCCCAGACTCATGTTTTTTGTTATAGCAACTGAAAATGGACAAAGACACTAAGTTAAGGGGAAAAAAAATAACAGCTCCAATCACAGTCAACCAGCCACCTGGCTATGTAACTAAATCTCCTATCAGACCATATGCAAATAAAGAAAATGCTTAGCTGTAGCCAATCAGGTATGTGTATGTATGTGTGTGTGTGTGTGTGTGTGTGTGTGTGTATATATATATATATATATATATATATATATTTAGTTTACTTCCATGTTCATCCTATAAAATATCCCTGATTATGCTGC